CGCGCTGATCACACCCCTCTCTTGCACAGCGCGAGCGCCGGAGCGCGAGCCGTCGTTCAAACTCAAGATCGCCGGCGAGCTGCAGCTGTGCTTATGACGGAGAAACAACCTAAACTGCCAATTCTCGAGTGACACCTGCTCATAAAACAAAGAGGTAAAAGGAAAAAGACGGATGACGATAAACAAGCGAAAAAAAAAGAATTACACAGAGCCCATTGACTCGGTGTCAAAACTCTAGCCGCATAACATGTAGATAAAATGTCACGCACTCTGCTAAGCAACAATTGAAACCTGCTAATTCACTGGCTTGTCATGTTGCTGAAATAATGTACTAGCACACCTTATCTAGCATTATATATCGCTAGAATAATTACTTACATACTGTAACGTTAGTTACCGTTATATTAACGTTATCTTACTAGCTATTTATAACTTATAGAAAGAGTGCAACGTTATAAAGTTACATGTAGGCTATTGCAAAATACATAATGATTTGAGGAGCAAGTTTGTAGTCAAAGTATGGGCAGGCCATAGTCAATGTAAAGCACATTATTGATGTTTAGTCCCTATTAGTGAATGTGCCATATAACTTTTTATCCGCTGTTATCGGATGCCCTGTTTACTAGCCTGCGCGTTCACGACAGGCTCCGCTGTGGAGGACGAGCTGTGCAGGGAGGGCTGTAGCGCAGCAGAGAGCAAGGGGGTGGGACCTGTAAGTTGTGCTTGTTCAAATTTTCAGGCTAAGTCAACGTTTTCTCAAAACTCCCTACTGCAGCTTTAAGCAAATTATATTTTATTTAAAGGTGCAGTGTGTAGATTTTAGCGGCATCTAGTGGTTCGGTTGCGAGTTGCACTAATGGCTCAGCCCACTGCTCACCCCTCCCTTTCGAAGAAGCTACGGTGGCTCAACCGGGACAAACATATTGTCTGGAGACAGAATAGCCAGAGTAAGCCAAGAGTCTGTACCACAGTCCCTAATAAACCACATCATGGATAAAGTTTACAAAGCCATAGTCAGGTGAGGATCAAGGGTCTTAATATATAATATAATAATAGTAATCAGCTGATTGTCTCACAAACGTAACCAGCACATTTCTCCCCACATAGCAAACCCATAATACAGCGAGGGAGAAGAACCACATGAAACTATGCAACTATATATGTTTTCTAACAGGGTAGTAAAAGTTTAGCTGGCTAATATGAGCTGTTACTGTGGCTGAGCTAAAGCGTAAAGCCTTGTTTAAACTCGACGCGTTCGCATGAGCGCAAAGGTGCGCGCGGCAAAAATGACGCGATTGTAACAGCGCGCGCGCCTCCGCATCCCCTAGACACCATTTACTACACATAAATAGGGTTTTTTTCTCTAGTTTTGAAAACTCTTCGCGATCGACTTAAAATGCTTCCAAGATGGACTTGTCGACCGCGATCGACGGGTTGGTGACTCCTATAACGTTACTGTTTTACGGTCAATAGTGCTAATCAGCTGATTGTCAAAGCCATAACACAGCGAGGGAGAAGAACTAAGTTACATGAAACAATCCAACTACATATTTTACACCACTGACAAGGGAAAAGTCACTACTTCCGGCGTCTATGGCTAGCTTCTAGCTTTCTGCGGCTTCTCTTTCAAGGTAGTGACGAAACGCGCTCTGTAGCGCTGTGTGTTCGCTGTGTGTGTTCGCTGTCGGCTACGGTAGAAACACAACGTCACAATATGTCGACCTTCATAGAAGGGGGTGCCCGTGGTTATGTAGATATAAATGTCTCATTCTAAGGTCTTTATACACCACTGAACACATAGTTATGGATCTTATATTGCATTTCTGTCAATAGATCCTCAGAAATATTACACATTGCACCTTTAAGAACAATTGTTTAAAAAGTGAATGTCAATAAAAGATGCAATGCTTGATTTGATTTATATTTGCTTATTGCGCTCGCTTGCGCCCTCTTGTGGGCATAGGAGACAATACAGCACTTTTTCCCTCTAACATAGTATTACCTTTAGAATTCGAAAATAATTTGAATTTTGCTAATGTTTAAGAAAGAAATTCAAATTTAGCTTTTCATTCATTTTGACAGCCCTATAGTGCATTCGTTTGATGCGTCGAGGTTATATAGAGACATTATAAAGAATACTTGACATTAATTGGCTGGGAACATTACGTTTGAAAAAACCAATCCGAACGTGAATAGAGTTTCATGGCTGAACCAAAGCCCGTCATTTGTTGCATGAGTGAATGTTATTTCTCAGCATTGCTCTATTATAGATCAGGAGACATGGGAAATTACGCTTTTTCTCAGATGTTTCCCCTAAAACTCCTAAGGCTGGTTTGAATTGTAATTTTTTTAGACATTAGAAATTAATGTTTTTTTTTCCTTCTGAGTGGAAGTGAAAAGGCATCTGAAGTCAGACACCCGCAGCGAGGTCTGCTGTCATGGGAAGGGAAATTAATTTCAAAAGTGCCTTTAACTATCATAACTTAATGGAAAAAAGAGGCCAGTTTCTTATTTGCCCTGAAATAGACATAATACAGGCATTATATTCAGGCTTTTTATGCTTGTGAAGGAGGTGACGCCCCTGACGGCAAATAAATGGCAGTGATTTTTCTCACTTCTGAGCGCTTGATGTTTTTGCTCGAGGGGAGAGAAGATATCAGGCCTCTTTTCATTCAGATACACGACGCCTCTAAAATAGCTCCCGGTCAGAACAGCATGTTAGCATTCACTTCCCCTGCATCTCTGAATCGGCCATTATCACAATGTGCCGAGATGATTGCGCAGGTAATTTTCATGGGTACAGACTTCCATCGCTTTGAGCAATTATTCCCAGGAGCGCTGACATTACAGCTGTAATCCTTTTGAAAGCAGGAGAGAGTTGAATATTTCAAGGTCTAAATGAAATAGCAATTTATCTGGGATAAACTGGACCTACTGCGTCCTTTATGGCCGTAATTGTGAATCATAAAGCTGTAATTGATTCTGATGCTTCCTGTCTTCTGGATGACGGGCGTTATCTTGCTGTTCCCCTGACTCCTGTGTGATGAGATAAACGTTCCAGCGTTGTTGAGCTAATGTCAGGCGTAACGAGACTTTCACATGTTCTGAAGATAATGTGGCTGTTTACCCCTGCAAACGATTTCACCATGATGTGAAGATGTTGTCGGTGGTGGTTGCTAGGGTACTGTGTTTTGGGTGGTTACTAGGGTGTTTTTAAGGTGTTAGCTGGGGTGCTATGGGTGATATAATGTTTATAACATTATATAATGATATAATATTTTTAGGGTGTTCTGGGTGGTTACTAGGGTATTGTTACACAGTTGCTGGGGTATTCTGGGTGGTTGCTATGCAGTTTCTAAGGTGTTCTGGGTGGTTACTAGGGTATTGTTACACAGTTGCTGGGGTATTCTGGGTGGTTGCTATGCAGTTTCTAAGGTGTTCTGGGTGGTTACTAGGGTATTGTTACACAGTTACTGGGGTATTCTGGGTGGTTGCTATGCAGTTTCTAAGGTGTTCTGGGTGGTTACTAGGGTATTGTTACACAGTTGCTGGGGTATTCTGGGTGGTTGCTATGCAGTTTCTAAGGTGTTCTGGGTGGTTACTAGGGTATTGTTACACAGTTGCTGGGGTATTCTGGGTGGTTGCTATGCAGTTTCTAAGGTGTTCTGGGTGGTTACTAGGGTATTGTTACACAGTTACTGGGGTATTCTGGGTGGTTGCTATGCAGTTTCTAAGGTGTTCTGGGTGGTTACTAGGGTATTGTTACACAGTTGCTGGGGTATTCTGGGTGGTTGCTATGCAGTTTCTAAGGTGTTCTGGGTGGTTACTAGGGTATTGTTACACAGTTGCTGGGGTATTCTGGGTGGTTGCGATGCAGTTTCTAAGGTGTTCTGGGTGGTTACTAGGGTATTGTTACACAGTTGCTGGGGTATTCTGGGTGGTTGCTATGCAGTTTCTAAGGTGTTCTGGGTGGTTACTAGGGTATTGTTACACAGTTACTGGGGTATTCTGGGTGGTTGCTATGCAGTTTCTAAGGTGTTCTGGGTGGTTACTAGGGTATTGTTACACAGTTGCTGGGGTATTCTGGGTGGTTGCTATGCAGTTTCTAAGGTGTTCTGTGTGGTTACTAGGGTATTGTTGCAAAGTTACTGGGGTATTCTTGGTGGTTCCTATGCAGTTTCTAAGGGGTTCTGGGTGGTTACTAGGGTATTGTTACACAGTTGCTGGGGTATTCTGGGAGGTTGCTATGCAGTTTCTAAGGTGTTCTGGGTGGTTACTAGGGCATTGTTACACAGTTACTGGGGTATTCTGGGTGGTTGCTATGCAGTTTCTAAGGTGTTCTGTGTGGTTACTAGGGGATTGTTACACAGTTGCTGGGGTATTCTGGGTGGTTGCTGTGCAGTTTCTAAGGTGTTCTGTGTGGTTACTAGGGCATTGTTACACAGTTGCTGGGGTATTCTAGGTGGTTTCTAGGATGCTATGTGGTTGCTAGACTGTTGCTATGCAATTGCTTGGTTGTTCTGGCTGGTTGCTTGGATCCCTCCTTCATTGTAAGTTTCTTGGCTATTCTAGGTGGTTGCTAGGATGCTATGTGGTTGCTAGGGTGTTGCTATGCAATTGTTATCTAGGGTGTTCTGGGTGGTTGCTGCTAGCGTCCCTCCTTCATTGTAAGTTCCTGGGGTATTCTAGGTGGTTGCTAACATGTGATGTAGTTACTAGGGTATTTTGGGTGGTTGCTATGGTGTTGCTATGCAATTGCTGGGGTCTTCTGTGTGGTTGCTAGGGTCCCTCCTTCATTGTAAGTCTATGTTTTTTTTTTTCCAGAACAGCATAAGCAATTGTTTTAGCAGACACCACTAATAAAAGTATGACAGAGTGAGTTTAGACATTTTATATTGAGAGGCTTTGTGAAATGGTTTTCTCAGATTGCAAGATGTTTACCGGTATATTGGTCTAATGTCGATTGATTTCTGAGTGTCTCTTTCTCTGTTTATGAGCAGAATCCTGCTGTGGATCACAGGTCTTGTGCACATCCGTCAGCCAAACCAGAGTCTGCTGTGTCTCCATATGCCTGCCAGAGACGGACGACATTGGATAACCACAATAAGATCTTTACAGTAAGTAAAAGCATACTGTACATATGCATTGCTAAAGATAACATTGTAACCCTGCCGATTGTGATGGCTGTGATTTAAATAGGCCACTGAGAATATTATTTTACAGTGTTCTTGAGTTATTTTAATCTCTGGCCCACTTGCAGCACAGTATGGACAGAACAGAAGGGGGTTCAACATACTCAGATGGATGGATTCAGAATGAACTGTCCCAATTAACACACACATTAACTGCTTCAGCTTTACACTATGCCGTGTTTGTTGTCTTTTATGATTGTTGCTCACAACAAACATCAAAAATCCTTGTATGTCAGAACTGGGGTGTTGTGACCTTTATAATGGACTATTTGCTTTTAGAAATCGTCCTCTCAGACAAAAAGAGACTTTCACTGTTCAAAGTAGTTTCTAGTGTGTTCTGGGTGGTTACCAGGGTGTTGCTAAGTGGTTTCTATGGTGTTTTGGAAGGTTGCCAGGATGTTGCTAAGCATTTAATAGGGTGTTCTGGGTGGTTACCAGGGAATTGCTAGGTGGTTTCTAGGGTGTTTTGGATGATTGCCAGGATATTGCTAAACAGTTGCTTGGGTGTTCCAAGTGGTTGCTAGGATGTTGCTAAGCAGTTGCTAGGGTGTTGCTAAGCGGTTGCTAGAGTGTTCTAGATGCTTACCAGGGCATTGCTGCTAAGTGGTTTCTAGGGTGTTTTGGATAATTATTACTAGGGTGTTGCTAAACAGCTGCATGGGTGTTCTACGTGGTTACCAGGGTGTTGTTAATAAGCAGTTACTAGGGTTTTCTGGTTGGTCACCAGGGCATTGGCACAGTAGATGGTTGCTAGAGTGTTCTGGGTGGTTACCAGGGTGTTGCTAAGTGGTTTCTCGGGTGTTTTGGATGGTTGCCAGGATGTTGTTAAGCGGTTACTAGAGTGTTCTGGGTGGTTACCAGGGTGTTGCTAGGTGCTTTCCATGGTGTTTTGGATGGTTGCCAGGATGAGCTAGATGGTCCAACCACACCCTAACACTACCTATAACCCTATCGCTAAACATAACCCCACCCATCAGATGTTCAGAGGCGGAGCATGACTATGTGAAGCTCCGCCCATTACATCCAGAGAGGAGCAGCTCTGCAGCGAGCATCACTTGATTAACCATACAGTCAGCCTTTGTTTTGTCTTGCAATTTGTGTCTGGAAGGTTAGAGGCCTGTTATCAGTTGTCAAGCAAAACTTCAGTCATGTTGTGCTTTAAATATTTATTTGATACTTGAACATAAACCCAACAGATTCACCTTGAGCTTCTCCGAGGCAAATCTTGAGACGCTGCCAGAACTGCTAAACTTTCTGTGTTTAGAGCCAGAATTAGACTGACAAACACCGGAGGTTTAAGAGCTTTTGGATGCGCGAGACGTCGCTCATGCTTGTCCTGATTATTACAGCTGATGTGTTGTTACGCCGTGATTCTTTGAACATTAATCAACAGAAAAACAGTGCAAGATTACACTTTGTTTCAGATGCGACATTTCTGCAAACGCACATTTTGTGATCGGCAACATTAAAAAATCAATTATGATGAAAGAGAAAAACACCCAAGACTGACGAGGTGAGGTGAACCGTAACCGAGAGCTCAGATTAAAATCTCTTCTGTATTTCACTGGCAAATATGATATTTTAATGGGAAACAGAGACTTGATTGTCTATTGCCAGGAGAGAAAAACACGTGCAATGCAAACACATTCTTGAGAATAATGAGTGAGCAGCTACAAAAACACTACAAATATCATATGTGTGGATTTTAGTCTTTTATATATTTAATTATTTAACTGTTGCATCAAAGTTTTCTATTTGAAGTGTGCATTTTTCTGACATGAGAATTATGCATATGAATGCATTAGTAAATCAGGTGTTTAAATTATATTTAGGTCTATCAGTAACAGTGCTTTTTGATCCACATTCTGTGCATAAATCAAATTTAGGTTTTGCTTTTCATGCCACAGATGTGAAGTTGAGCGATTAGTCTGTGTTCTGTTTTACTGATGGTAAGGTGTGAGTGTGTAACGAGTGTGTAACAGGTTTGCAGACAGAACAAAAAACACATGAGCATGATGGATCCACCAAAGTTTAATTCTGTGAAGTGTCAATCACACAACTGTGATTCCCAGCCTCCCCAGAGTCGCCAATATTGATTTGATCCTCGTCTTTTCTCACTCAACCATTGCACATTTTAATAGCAAGTTTGTCCAGCATTTGCATTTCCCACGAACACACAGAACACAACCACACAGCAAAAAGCTAGTCCTACCAAAACAATAGCATTTCGTACACACATTTCAAATTTTGGTATTTTTAAAAAAATATTTTTTAAGTCTCTTCTGCTTCTTTTTGCTTGATCAGAAATGCTGCAAAAACAGTTATATTGTCAAGTCAAGTCAGCTTTATCTATATAGAGCTTTTTACAATACAGATCGTTTCAAAGCAGCTTTACAGAGATAACAGGAAAATAATGCAACAAAGTTGTTTCGGCTGTACAGCAGATCTAGAAGAAAATAATGTGCATTGTGCACTCTTGCATTGTGAAATATATTATTACAATAATTCTGACTTTATAACATGCAATTGCGACTTTATATCACGCAATTCGGACTTTATATCACGCAATTGCGACTTTATATCTCGCAATTCTGACTTTATAACACAATTGTGATTATATCACGCAATTCTGACTTTATATCACGCAATTCGGACTTTATATCACGCAATTCGGACTTATATCACGCAATTCTGACTTTATATCACGCAATTCTGACTTTATATCACGCAATTCTGACTTTTTATCACGCAATTGTGATTATATCACGCAATTCTGACTTTATATCACGCAATTCGGACTTTATATCACGCAATTCGGACTTTATATCACGCAATTCTGACTTTATATCATGCAATTCGGACTTTATATCACGCAATTCTGACTTTATATCTCGCAATTCTGACTTTATAACACACAATTGTGATTATATCACGCAATTCTGACTTTATATCACGCAATTCTGACTTTATATCATGCAATTCGGACTTTATAACACGCAATTGCGACTTTATATCATGCAATTCTGACTTTATATCACGCAATTGTGATTATATCACACAATTCTGACTTTATAACATGCAATTGCGACTTTATATCACGCAATTCTGACTTTATAAAATGCAATTGTGACTTTATATCCCGTAACTCTGAGATAAAAATTCAGAATTGCGAGATAAAAAGTCGCAATTACCTTTTTTATTTTGTGGTGGAAACAAGCTTCCATAGATTACTATTTGAACATATTTTTTTAAATGCATTTTATTCCTGTGATGCAAAGCTGAATTTTCAGCATCATTGCTCCAGACTTTAGTGTCACATGACTTTCCCCCTCTTTCTCTCTCTCTCTGTCTCTTGCATTCTTTCATCATGGCTTCTTGAAGACTCCAGTCTTTCAGTTGCATCACTCCATCTTTCCCAGGCCTTCACATCAGTCAATACTGACCGACTCCGTGTGAATGAACACTGTCTGATTGGATGTGGAGGGTGTAAACGCACATTAATGAGCAGGAACAGGAACAGGCCGGTGTTTGTTTTTCCATCCCTTGGCCTTTGGTGCCTCAGCGATGGTGTTTCTCGCCCGCATGAATCGATCTGTGTAACGACCCCGTGGGCCGAGCTCTCCAGAACCCTGTTCTTCATCATACAGCAGACGCCAGTCACAGGCACGTTTGCTAATGAAAGCCAACACACATGGACAATCATTAAAGTGTGTGTGTGTTATGGAGGATGTGTCGGGTGTTTGCATGATATGCTGGTCATTATGTGTGTTGCTGCATGGATGAAAGTGTCTGGAAAGCTTTTTTGTCCTTTATTTGCTGCTTGTTTCAGAGCTGCTCCACATTTCTGTGGCCGTATAATAAAAGTCCCTAGATGAAAAATGTTCATGTTGTGCGGGCAGTAATGCATCTGTATGTTCTGCACTGATTCAAGAGCGCATTATGGAGAATATATTCTGACATAAATAAAGGATTGGTAGTGAAGTCAACGCCGGCTGAGTCCAAAGATTTACTGACATCTTCTTACATAGGCAGTGTTTTGAGTTTAAAGTTCGGTCCACATTGCAGTTTGTTTTAGCCAACGTTGCATCCAAAATCTCATATTGTTTAGTAAATTTGGTTTTACACTTACCTTGCAAGGGTTGAAAAGTATGCTCTATATACTAATGTAATCTGGAATCAGTGGTGTAAAGTATTTGTAGTACATTGAGTAAATATAGTTAGTTTTTGGCTACTTTGTAGTTTTACTGAGTATGAAAAATTGTAGCAACTTTTACTTTCTACCGGAGTACATTTTCTAACAAGTATATGTACTCTTTACACCAAGTCAAGTCAAGTCACCTTTATTTTTATAGCGCTTTTTACAATACAGAGTGTTTCAAAGCAGCTTAACAGAGATAACAGGAAAATAATGCAACAAAGTTTGTTTCCAGAAGAAAATAGCGTCACAGTCCAGCTGAAGTAAGTTCAGTGATGTTTCATTTTTGTTGTAAAGAAGTTATTAATTTAGTTTATTTATATATATATATAGAGCCGCTCTGGAGAAAGCCGTGATGTCATCCAATACATTTGTGAAGAGTAATGCAATTACACATTACATTTTGCATGGCACCTCACTCTTTCTGTAGGAGTTTATTGCTGCTATAAAGAAGCGATATCACCGTCTACAGGGCATTGAAGGAACTATAACTAGTGCGTTCAACGAATGCGAGTGCATAAACGGGTAGTTGCTGAATCGTAGGAGTTTCATAAATGAGATGAGGCCGAAACCAGCACAAGTAGGCTTTGACTATTTCATTTTACTATTTATCCACTCATCCATTTAAATTATATTAAGCTTTAAAGTTCTGCATAATTAAGGGTGTGGCCACTTGAGTGACAGGTGGATTGCCGCTGATGTCACTACTAGCCTGTTAGCGTCACGTCACCTCAGCTAATCCGCCTCGCTGCACATGTTCGTTTATCTGAGAGTGACGCGCTGACAAAATGGCGTCTGCCGGCTCCGCCCACTTTGGGCTTCAAAAGTGCTCTTCAGAAACGTATGGGTGACGTCACGGACACTACGTCCATATTTTTTTACAGTCTATGATAGCATCAGACAAATATTGTAGATTGAAACTGTAATCTTCTGCTATTTCAGCCATTGTTGTGTGCAATATACATCAAATGCTCTTTCAGACTAACCTTCAGACAACCCAGAGTATGTTTTTACTGTAACCCAGAGTTTGATTTTAATTCTCTACTGGGGAAAACAAAAATCAATATGTAAAAAAAAAAAAAATCAACATTTAGCATTGCAGATGTTTGCAAGCTAAACTTTGGTCTTCACCAAACTAGTATAGAATATCTTAGTCTTATTGCATAGACTCCCACTCATTCATAATATGCTCAATGCTAATATAATATTATGCCATTATATCAGCAGACACTGGAGATGTGTGTTCATCATAGCAGCAGATCTCGTCTCGAGTTCTCTTGTTAGAAGTGCGCTCAAGTGAGTTTTCTTTGGCACAGCAGGCGCTCAAACATACACACACTTTTCACACACTCTCCCGCTGTCCTCACACTCCAGGACACAAGCTTACGGCACAGCAGGACTCGACCCCGTGACCTTGGCATTACCAGCTCGCTGCTCTCATTAACCAGTACGAGAGGAGCCCCGTGTGTGTGGACATGTACCGGAGACTGTGTGTGTTTTTGGTGTCAAGGGTGTTGTGTATGTCATGGTTGAGAGGGTTTTTAAATATGTCTGGGCACATTCATGTCATGAAAACTAAGCGGGCGCATATATTGATTCACACCGGCCCGTTGTACATACTAAATTTGTGGTGGTGTTCATGACAAACCTCAGTACTCAAGGGGGCGATAGAGTTTCCTTCAAGCTCTTGATTGTGTTTTCAGGCTCTACTAGAACAGGTTTTCCTGCTTGAATGTTGATTATTTCCCCCATATTCTAACAGGCATATTAGTCCAACGAAGCACACTGAGAAGGGCATAAGGTCAGATTATATTTGAGTATTTTAATTTTGATGGATAAATGTGTATGTGTGTGCATGTGTTTTGCATTTAAAGAGGACCTATTATGCCCTTTTTAGTCTTGATGTTGTTTCAGGCTCTACTAGAACAGGTTTTAATGCATTATTTTCCTCATATTCTCCATTGTTGCGGCTCCTCTCTTCCCAGTCTGTCAGTAACGCTCTGTTTACTTCCTGTCTCCATGAAGCCCCTCCTCCTGAAAAGCACACTGTGCTTTGATTGGTCGGCTGGATCAGTGTGTTGTGATTGGTCGAGCGCTTTGAGCGTGTTTGGGAAATGTCCCGTCCCTTTCCATAACCGCCAGTTTCAACACACTACTAACTAACTTTTCATTGGCAATTAAGCACTTTTCCCCACGATGGTCACAGGTTTCATGGCACTATCACTGTACAATTTATATAAATAAGAATATAAAGGAATGAGTAGACGTGCCCAAGCTTTTGCCTTGAACTTTAATCGGGTTGGTTTCACTTTAAAAGAGTGATTTCATGAGTGCTTTAAATAAACGGATGAATTCATCTCTCTCTTAATATATGTTGTTGTGTGAACATGTGCGCGTGCCAGCGGCCCTTAGGGAAACGCTTGTGAACGAGTGGAAAATGACAGGTTCCTCTCCACTGATCACAGACCCACGAGTCTCTGTGAGGTCATCTGAAAAACACCCTGGCACAGAAGCACAGCATGATGGGAGGAATACAGAGGAGCGAGTGCCACACACACACACACACACACACACACACACACACACACACACACACACACACAGAGTGCCAAGGCACGGGTCAGTGCGCAGACAGTGTAAACCTACACCGGACTCTTTCATTCTTCTCTCATCTGTTTTTTCCGGCTGTCTTTTATTTGACCTTTCTGCATTTTATCCTCATTCATATTTCCTGTGTTTTTCACACTTCATCTGCTGTGTCACTCTTCACCGTCTCTGTGCCGTAGGATGCGTTGGAAGTCCTGGCGGAGAACATGGAGTTCGTTGGGAACCGAGGGCCGTGTCTGGCGTTTCGAAGGGCCGCTTCGGTGCTCAAGAGTCTCTGTGCTCCTTTACAACACCTGGAGGAGACGCAGCGCCTGCCCTGTCTGGGGGAACACAGCAACGCCATCCTGGAGGTGCAGTACGACACACACACACACACACACACACACACAATCACAATCACAATCACAATCACACTCACACTCACACTCACACTCACACTCACACTCACACTCACACTCACACTCACACTCACACACACTCCACCACTCACTCACTCACTCACTCACTCACTCACTCACTCACTCGCTCGCTCGCTCACTCACTCACTCACTCACACACTCACTCACTCCACTCACTCACTCACTCACTCACTCACTCACTCACTCACTCACTCACTCACTCACTCACTCACTCACTCACTCACTCACTCCACTCACTCACTCACTCACTCACTCACTCACTCACTCACTCACTCACTCACTCACTCCACTCACTCACTCACTCACTCACTCCACTCACTCACTCACTCCACCACTCACTCCACCACTCACTCACTCACTCACTCACTCACTCACTCACTCACTCACTCACTCACTCACTCACACACTCACACTCACTCACTCACTCACTCACTCACTCACTCACTCACTCACTCACTCACTCACTCACTCCTCTCACTCACTCACTCACTCACTCACTCCTCTCACTCACTCACTCACTCACTCACTCACTCACTCACTCACTCACTCACTCTCACACACACTCACTCACTCACTCACTCACTCACTCACTCACTCACTCACTCACTCACTCACTCACTCTCTCACTCACTCACTCACTCACTCACTCACTCACTCACTCACTCACACTCACTCACTCACACTCTCACTCACTCACTCACTCACTCACACTCACACTCACTCATTCACTCACTCACTCACTCACTCACTCACTCACTCACTCACTCACTCACTCACACTCACACTCTCTCACTCACTCACTCACTCACTCACTCACTCACTCACTCACTCACTCCACTCACTCACTCACTCCACTCACTCACTCACTCACTCACTCACTCACTCACTCACTCACTCTCTCACTCACTCACTCACTCACTCACTCCACTCACTCACTCACTCCACTCACTCACTCACTCACTCACTCACTCACACACTCACTCACTCACTCACTCACTCACTCTCACACTCTCACACTCTCTCACTCACTCACTCACTCACTCACTCACTCACTCACTCACTCACTCACTCACTCCACTCACTCACTCACTCACTCACTCACTCACTCTCACACTCTCTCACTCACTCACTCACTCACTCACTCACTCACTCACTCACTCACTCACTCACTCCACTCACACTCACTCACTCACTCACTCACTCACTCTCACACTCACACTCACTCACTCACTCACTCTCACACTCTCTCACTCACTCACTCACTCACTCCACTCACTCACTCACTCACTCACTCTCACACTCACACTCACTCACTCACTCACTCTCACACTCTCTCACTCACTCACTCACTCACTCACTCACTCACTCACTCACTCACTCACTCCACTCACACTCTCACTCACTCACTCACTCACTCACTCCACTCACTCACTCACTCACTCACTCACTCACTCACTCACTCACTCACTCACTCACTCTCACACTCACACTCACTCACTCACTCACTCACTCACTCACTCACTCCACCACTCACTCCACTCACTCACTCACTCACTCACTCACTCACTCACTCACACTCACACTCACACTCACTCACTCACTCACTCACTCACTCACTCACTCACTCACTCCACTCACACTCTCACTCACTCACTCACTCACTCCACTCACTCACTCACTCACTCACTCACTCACTCACTCACTCACTCACTCCACTCACTCACTCACTCACTCACTCACTCACTCACTCACTCCACTCACACTCTCACTCACTCACTCACTCACTCCACTCACTCACTCACTCACTCACTCACTCACTCACTCACTCACTCACTCACTCCACTCACACTCTCACTCACTCACTCACTCACTCACTCACTCCACTCACTCACTCACTCACTCACTCACTCACTCACTCACTCACTCACTCACTCTCACACTCACACTCACTCACTCACTCACTCACTCACTCACTCACTCACTCACTCACTCCACCACTCACTCCACTCACTCACTCACTCACTCACTCACTCACTCACTCACACTCACACTCACTCACTCACTCCACCACTCACTCACTCCACTCACTCCACTCACTCACTCACTCACTCACTCACTCACTCACTCACTTCACTCACTCACTCACTCCACTCACTCACTCACTCACTCACTCACTCACTCACTCACTCACTCCACTCACTCACTCACTCACTCACTCCACTCACTCACTCACTCACTCACTCACTCACTCACTCACTCACTCACTCACTCACTCACTCACTCACTCCACTCACTCACTCACTCACTCACTCACTCACTCACTCACTCACTCACTCACTCACTCACTCACTCACTCCACTCACTCACTCACTCACTCACTCACTCACTCACTCACTCACTCACTCACTCACTCACTCACTCACTCACTCACACACACACACACATTACTGAGGGTCACTGTGGTGGACAGTAGACTCTCTCTCTCTCTTTCTGAAACCGCATCATCAGTCAGCTGACGTCTGAGGTCATCAGAGCAGCTCTTCTCCTGCTGAGGGTTTAATACACCTTCACATCACTGCTGTTTATTTTCCCGAGGGGGAAACAGAAAGACATTGTGCTGAAAGGAAAAACAAAACATTTCACAAACTGAAGTTTGGTAGGTTTTAAAATAGATAAAGCGTCGTAATCTCAGGTCAACCTGTCAAGAACATGTCCGGGTAATATTTAAAAATCTAGAAATTGTTATAAAAAATTATTGTCATGAGAGTTAAGCACATGTTCCCCTAAAATTCTCAGTACAGTAGTGTGAAAAAAATTAAGTTAAGTAAATTAATAATTTATATAATTTTGAAGTCCCCCTGTAGTAAATAATTGTAAAATTTTAAACTCATCTTTGATCACCAAAATGACATATTTAAACGTTTTGAAAAAAAATCTTTGTGTCTTAAAATATCTTGAATGTAACTCGACACCCTTGCCTCATTTAGTATGCGTGGTTCTATGAATATGCAAATGAGCCCCGCCTCCACTCACTCACTCAGCTCAGAGATCCACTGGTTGACGATCACACGTTGATCTGATTGGTTACAAGGTCGTTTGTGACGTCAGAAACACCAGCGATTTCAAACCGTGTTTTTGAGACTGTCTTTGGTTCACTGCAGTTTTAAGGAGAAAATACTCAGCAATGCTGTCGACTTATGAACTTACACATGGTGTGTCTTAAAGCAGATTAAAAACACCACATAGTATGGTGGCCGAGAGAGCTCAACGCGCTTCAACTGAACAAAACACATGCAAATAGAAGAAAACACATGCAAATAGAAAAAAACGCGTGCAAATTAAAAAAACACCTGCAAATTAAGAAAACATCTTCATCAGTTTCACAACACACGTGTGCTCCAAATACTCACAACACCACCAAATACATAAACGCGCTGCAAATAACACAGAGCACAACGGAAATGTTTCCAGGGAACCAAATAAGTGACGAACCCGGCTGGGACGTGCCAGCATAGATATCCATAAATCTATGCGTGCTGGTGCTTACAGCTTAAAATTATACTTTATTTATTTGTTTATTTATTTATTTGTTTGTGTAAAACATACAGAGATTACATTTTTTATGACATACAACTTGTATACAATGTACAAAATGTATTAACAATATGTTCAATGTCATCAGAATACAAATGAGAAAAGAACAATGAGCTGGAAACTAAAATAAATAAATAAAAAAGATAAAGAAGAAAAACATGAAGGAAAGATATTCATCAATAAGTTACACTGTACAAATTGTTTCATGTTATTACATTTTCATAAAGAAAAGTTTCGTAAGAAATGTTAGGTAATGTAGGGTCCAAAATTTTAAAGCTGAGACACAGATATATAACGCATATTTTAAAAGCTTTTTTTGTAAACTAAAAATAAAAATGTATTTGCATCCGTTATGTTAACAGCATCATATTTCTGTCGTAAGACCAGCTGATGGACACCGTGCTGCGTTGTCATGGGAACATCCCACGTTGTCCACTTATTTGGTTCCCCTGGAAACATTTCCGTTGTGGTCTGTGTTATTTGCAGCGTGTTTTCTGTATTTGGTTGTGTTGTGAGCTTTTGCAGCGCGTTTCCTTATTTGGAGCACACGTGTGTTGTGAAACTGATGAAGATGTTTTTTTTAATTTGCTGGTATTTTTTCCTATTTGCACGCGTGTTTTTCTATTTGCATGTGTTTTTTTCTATTTGCATGTGTTTGCTTCAGTTGCAGCACGTTGAGCTGTCTCGGCCACCGTAACATAGACACATAAATAACATTTAAAAACCTTTTTATTATAAAAGTTATTTTGAATTGAAATATTTTACAATATTACTGTTTTTGATCAAATAAATGCAGTCTTGGTGAGCAGAAGGGACTATAAAAAAATACAAATGTTAATTATTCCAAACTTTGGAGTGGTAGTGTGTGTATAACTTTATACTCAGGATTTATAGATTATATTCAGATTTCATATAATTATGTACTATTTGGCCCTATATGTATATAATTACATTTATATTTGAAAGCAGAGATGTGTGTTTGTGAGTCTGTGTTTGTTTGACAGCTTAAGTCTGGAGAATACAAGGAAGAGCTTGTAATATTATGCCGTTTTAAAATTTAAAGGCAATTAGCTTTTAATAGTTGAGTGACGCGTGACAAATGTTATAGGATTCCTGACAGTGTGTTCAGTAGTAACACATCAAATTAACTCTCTTGCCCTTCGTGAATAATCCAATGCTTTATATTTCTTTGATGATATTGAATTGTGTGCAGTTTAAGTTGACTCTCATTAATAGGAAGGAAGTGCGTTTGATTGGAAAGTCAGTCATTACCGTTCACATTTACAGTGATAGATGTGTTTCCAACACACTCCGGGTGTGATTAATACACTGGTTCTGGTTCCTGCAGGCGGAGAAACTGTAAGACAGTCAATACAGCATTTACACAACAGCGCGAGAGCTATGGGAGACGACGCAATGAGCATTTCATTAGAGTTATTAAGCTGCAATTAACCCGGACGGTGTGTGTGTGTGTGTGTGTGTGCAGATTATTTACAGTTACCGTGTTTAATCATAGCAGGATTTAAACTGGATTTAACTGTTTGTGCATGACAGTGGCACATAACAAACTGCGCATCTGTCTCGGTCTTTATCTAGGAGATCTTTGAATGCGGATCATCCTCCAGAGCTGAAGACACACTGAATGACGAGAGGTACCGAACTATGAAGGTGAAGTAAATCTCTCTGGGACTTCAGAGCTTAGCAGGTGTAGAAATGAGTGTGTGTGTGTGTCTGATAATGTTTGTGTCTCAGTTGTTCAGCAGTGTGTTCGGTGTCGGACCCAGAACCGCAGAGAGCTGGTTCTATAGAGGACTCAGGACGTTTGAACAGGTTCTGACTGAACCCAGTATCAGACTGAACCGCATGCAGACCGCAGGTAAACAATGATGTCAAAAGTTCAGACTTGTTGAAGTTCCCCTCTAGTCAATCATTTTATCCCTTAAAAATCATCTTTGATCACCAAAATGACGTAATTAAATGATTTTTCCATGAAAAAAAATCTTCATGCCTTAAAATATCTTGAATGTAACTCGACACCCTTGCCTCATTTAGTATATGCGGTTCTATAAATATGCAAATGAGCCCCGCCTCCACTCCACAGAGATCCACTCGTTGACGAATTAGTTTTTAAAAAGCTATTTTTCAGCATGGCGATGATCTAAAAATCGCTTGTTGCATGAATCACAATTTGTAAAATACATTTTTATTCACCTCCAAGTAAACAGAATATCATTGCATTATAATGGCTTTTTGGACATTGTCCTATTATAATTTTTTTTTGTTTTTGGACGTATACCATGGTGATACTATTATATATATATATATATATATATACACAGTATACTCCTTAAAACTGCAGTGAACCAAAGACAGTCTCAAAAACACGGTTTGAAATCGCCGGTGTTTCTGACGTCACAAACGACCTTGTAACCAATCAGATCAACGTGTGATCGTCAACCAGTGGATCTCTGAGCTGAGTGAGTGAGTGGAGGCGGGGCTCATTTGCATATTCATAGAACCGCGTATACTAAATGAGGCGAGGGTGTCGAATTACATTCAAGATATTTTAAGGCATGAAGAATATTTTTTTCAAGGACATTTTTTTTTAATATGTAATTTTGGTGATCAAAGATGAGTTTTAAAGGACAAAATTAGTGACTACAAGGGGACTTTAAACAATCGCAGTACATACTGAATCGGCAGATAAATATTGCACTATAGAATTCCCAGCCCTATATTTACTTCCAGGAATACAATGTTTTTACCATGCACATAAATATTCACCAGTGTATGTGTCCAAAACAATATAGTGTGGATTCAGATTCATTGGAAGAGTTTTTTTCAGAAGTATTTGAATTTTTTTAAGCCGGACCTCCCACTCTTTCACTCTCAGAATAAAAACACAGTGTAGACATGATAAATGTTCCTGCCAAACACCATCATCATTTCCTGGTCATTTTTATGCAGCCATCGGCCTCCGAGTGTGTGTGTGTGTGTGTGTGTGTGTGTGTGTGGGACAGAGGGCTTCTGTGCTGCTGAAATCACTGTGTTTAACGCATGTTCACTGCTTCAGTTTTCAGATCTGTCATGTCAGTGTTATTCCAAAACCTCCTGGAATATAAATATGCTTATCAATGAGTCGGGTTCCATTGAGCATCACACACTGAATTAAAGCCCTCCTGGGAGTCGCGAGGACGTGGGAAAAAGTGACAGTTTTGCTGGTTATACATTCAGAGCTCATCAATCAGACTGAGAAAAGGCCAGCCGTGTTCCCGCTGTCATCTCGTCTATGAATTATGATATGATTTTATTGTTACCTTTAAAAGCGATTACCTTACCTGACCCGTTGTTTTATGGGCTCGGGTCCTAATATGGATGTGTGATGGAGGGTTGTGTTGTTAATTACTGATTGTTTTGGAAAATCTACTGTAAGAGGAAAGTTTAATGAGGCAGAGATTGTTTCCCAACTCACATCGCTACTGTTTTTCAGTCGTCAGGCCTCGTAATTTTCCGCCGCTGTCTTCAGGCGCTCATTTACGACCTGCTGATCTATAAACAACACGCCGGCTTCAAACAATTATGCAGATTTGGTTTGTGAGATTTGCAGTCGGGTGAGAGGCGGTGCAGGCGCTCGCTTGCTGGAAGAGTCTCGGTGCTCGAGAGATTTCTCTGGCTGTGTGCTTGTGATAGCTATATTTTAAAATTCTCACTTATACAAAACATAAAGGTTGAAAACAAGTGTAAAACTTCAGTAAATGTCATAAAATATTATGCTTTTCTCTAAAAGTGCTTTATCTATTATTGAAATGGCACAACATATACAAAAGTTTGTCATAGTTAGGTGTTCAAGCACGAAGTGCTGAAAACCTATTGTATTTGTAAGGATAAAAAAAAACAATCCCCTAAAATGCATCGTGCAGCCCAAACCGTAAGGCCTAGAGACTTGAAACCTGGCCAGATGGTAGGGCCTCAAATTGGGGAGAACCTATCAGAGTATGAGCCCCATTGGCCCATAGGTGGCGCTACAGTCAGCAACCAAAAGTACTAAATTGCTCATAACTCCTAGACCGTTTGACTCAACCTCAAGGTTTTTACACCACTGTGATCCTTGGCTCAAAAAAATGTTTCCGCTATGTCGAATTTTGTCAAAAACGTACTTTTGCGAACTAGTCCCTGGTTTTTCGCCCGATCGGAACCAGACCAGTCTAGGACAATTCTCTGGACTCTCTAGAGCAATAATTATCGAAAAAAAAGTTTTGCATTTGGTTGGCTATAACAGGGTCATTTAGAAAGTAGTCCGTGGCAAAATACAGTCAAAAGCCAATAAATCCTAAAGGAAAAGTCAGAACTTCACAAAAATTGATGAGCATATGTGTCCTAACATGGTTAGGAAGCATGCAAAGTTTTGTGAAGATCGGACCATAGGTGGCGCTATAACCGTCAAAAAGGTCTCATTCTTATTAGGTGTCCAAGCACAAAGTGCTGAAAACCTATTGTATTTGTAAGGATTTCTTTGGGGAAAAAAGCCTATAAATCCTACAAGAAAACTCAGAACTTCACAAAAATTGATGAGCATATGTGACATAACATCATTAACAAGCATGCAAAGTTTTATGGAGATCGGACCATAGGTGGCGCAAAACTGTTAAAAAGCTTTAAAACCATATATTTCCTATGGTAAATTGCCTGTATTGGCTGTAAATGGTGTTTTCCATCTATTATGTCAGTGGATAAATGTATGCTAAATAAAACTTAATGTCTTTTGATGCTTTTGTGCTTAACGGCCTTAGACTGTACTGCTTGAACACCGCTAAATGCTGCTCGCAGCTTTAATTTTATTCATATTTTTTAAAAATTGTATTTCATGTAAATGCTGTTATTTTGAACTTTCTATTCATCAAAGAACCGTGAAAAAAATTAATCATGGTTTTCACTGAAATATTAAGCAGCACAACTGTTTTCAACATTGATGATAATCATAAATGTTTCTTAAGCAACAAATCATCATATTAGAGTGATTTCTGAAGGATCATGTGACACTGAAGACTGGAGTAATGATGCTGAAAATTCAGCTTTGATCACAGGAATATTTATATATATATATATATATATTCACAAAAAAAACGTATTTTAAATTGTAAAAATATTTCAAAACTTTTTACTGTTTTTTTGATCAAATAAATCCAGCCTTTGTAAGCAGAAGAGACTTCTTTCAGAAACATTAAAAAATCGTATTAACAGTTATATTTTAACTTTCTTGCAAAATATTCATTTATATACAAATATATAACTATAAATTCCCGTTTGCTAACCGCGACTTTGATTGATGGATCTCTCCACTATTTTGGGTGACTTACATTTTACATTTACTTTTATGCATTTGGCAGATGATTTTAAGTCTTTCACTCAAATTGCTTCATCACTAAAAATAATTTTCTCTATGTAGAAAATGAATGTGATTTTTACTTGTGTAATCTGTCGGCTGTGCTCTATCAAGTGTGACAGCAGCACAGCAAAGGAGATTACAATATTAGAAAGCAGATCAAACAAGCCAATATGAAGACTTATAAAGATAAAAAAAATAACACTCATAAAGTGTGACATTTATCATGCGATAGTACCATATTTAGATTGTGTCCATGTGCTGCTATGCTATTCTTTAAGGTAAAAAATACCGTAGTCAATTGTGGTATGATTCATATATTTACCATTTATTTAATTTTGTAAGTGAAAGAAGGTTAACAGCACTGGGATGTGTGTGTGATCTCAAGAGGAAACGAGGTCTGTAATTAATGTTTCTCACACAAACCACTAGTGAGAGACACTCGTTGAACAAATAGAGAACGAGTTAATAAACACTTGATAGTGAAACTGTTGTATTGTGTGTTTTGGCGATAGGTTCATTATCATTAAATCACTTTTAATGGTGTTTAACCGTCCAGAACAGCATGAAAGTGCAGGCATCACATTTGTTGACGGCATTGAACTCTAATTTGAGAATAACCCATAATTAACAGTAAAGTTGCTAGGTCAACCATCACTACTATTGCTAATAGTTAGTGCTTGTGATGAAACGCTAAACTCCACACAGAAATATTTAGGCCTAAATTTAAGATTTGTGTGTTTTAATTGCATATTGGTGGAGACTGGTTTGTTTTATTTCACATGATCTTGATAATTAGTTAAGTCTGAACACACTCAGCAAACAATAGCCATTATTCACCGTCTAGGTATAGACCAGATATAGACCGGCTATGAGTGACACACTTCAAGCCAAAATAACCTTGAATTTGGTTACATGTAGTTTTTGCCAAAATAACTTGCTAGATTTATGCTATTCCATCATGTACGCAAAGTAAACGGTGATTATTACAAGGTGTTTGGTTTCATTACTTCACACATTTCATTTCTTTATCTAATTGATGACGAGTCTATTCTTGGGCGATGGTTTAGACGTCTATTACATTTTCACTGACAGCCCAAATTTTGCCTTGTTTTAGCCTAGACACTGAGCTGTGATTGGACGCTATTAGACGTCTTTTAAACGCAAAATTGCTTGCTGGGTAGCCACATAAAAAAATAGCATCACGGTGGAGAGTTTTCCAAGGTAAACATGTCTCACGTTTTCTTCAGACAGTGTAAAAGTCTAGTTTGTGCAACACTTCTTGGGTGTTTGTCAGTAAGTCTTGTATCCATCCGCTCTTGTCGCAGGGTTCTTGTTCTACGAGGACATCAGTAAGCCGGTGAGCAGGACCGAGGCCAGCGCACTGAAGATTATAGTGGAAGAAGCTGTTATCTGTGTAAACCCACACGCCACCGTCCACATTACTGGAGGATTCCGCAGGTAAACACTGGTTCCTTGAAGAAGAGTAGATATTAGTGGTTTGTGTCTGGTTATGTCAGTTCAGTGGTGTGTGATTTGTGTGTTTCTGTATGGAACAACATTTCTGTCATGAAAACTCTTGGGGCCCTATCTTGCACCCAGCGCAAATGACTTTGTACACTGGCGCATGTATCATTCCTATTTTGCACCCGCGCAAAGCGGACTTTTCCCTCCACAGACGCACGTCGGTAAACTAGGAAATGAACTCGCGCTCCCTGGGCGGGTCGGCGCAAAAAGGAGGCGTGTTTCGGCGCAAACATTCCCTAGTGCTATTTTGCAGTTCCAGAAAACAATTGCGCCACTGACCAGAAGAAACCTAGTCTAAAGTCAGTGGCGCGTTGCGCGTTGTTCATAATGCTATTTTAAGCGCGCATGCTTGGCCATAATGTAGCGGGTGCACAACGCGCATACACTTTGATTCTCTCATCAACACAGATGCAGCAGTTTTTATTTTTGCAAATCATACATTATAACAAGGAAAAATATTAACACATGAGGGAAATCATTGTGGTGTCCATGAAGATGTAAAAAAATGTAGGCCTAAATCTAGCTTACACATTTACCCAAATTTTTCAGGCTAATTGTAGTAATGACGGATCAGACCTGTTTGCCCAATAGTGGCAAGACACATAAGGACATCTGACAAATTAGTTTGTCCGTCAAGAACCAGGAAAAAAAAAACTCCCATCCCCATACAACGTCACTTCTCTGTCTTTCACTGCCCTGACAAGAGCGTCGGTCTCCTCGGCTGTGAACCGCTCCTGGCAGTAAATCCGCCATAATAATAGCAATCCGCCATGCAACATGCGCACCTGCTCTTAAAGGGTATGTTGGATGACGCTCTGATTGGTTTATTTCACGTTACGCCCAAACCACACCTATGAATAATGAAGCTACTTCAGACCAACCCCTTTTAAACTTGCGTCGGGTGCAAGAGTCATTTATCCCGCCGGTAAAACAGCAACAGCACCGAGATCCGCTCACAAAGTTACTTGCGCTTCGCGCTTGATACTTGCGTTTCAGATCGTTAAAATAGGGCCCTTGGAGTGTTTGGGATGGAAATGGATATGACAATGTAAATATGTTTGGTCTTGGCCGAATAGATCTGCTACGCTGTTATTGCTGCTGCTGTTATTGTTGCTATTTTTAAAGGACATTTAAACCGTCGGCGTTTGCCATCTTACTCCTATTCCAGTTTTAAACTGTGTTTTTGAACTAAGTCCGAGATTTCCGGTGTTGTGGGCTGTTGTTTATCGCCCACCCAAATATAACAAGGACTTTATCTATGATTTTTGACTAAATATGATCGGGTATTAATTGTGGGGGATCTTAATATCTTAATGTGCTGTCCCGCCAAGCCTTTGGCTAAAGCTTTTTTAAATCTTTTGGAGTGTTTTAACTTTTAACATATATGGACATACACTAGATTTGGTTGTAACATATGGCCTGACTATTGGTAATATTGAAGTCTGTGATGTCACTTTCTCTGATCATTTACCTGTTTTATTTGAGATATGTATTTCCTATGATTCTAAAGTGACTGTTCCAATCCGTCGCTGTCGGATGATTAAGCCTTCAACCGCTCAATTGTTTTCTGAGGCTTTTTTAATGGCATTGAGAATGATTATTCAGTGTCCTCATATGGCCTGAACACTGACGACTTAACTTCATTGTTCTCTCTAACCTGTAAGTATTTTGGATATAGTGGCTCCTTTTAGGACAGTCCGAGAAAACAATAGAGTTCAACCGTGGCTGAATGCCACTACTCGATCTATAAGGCTTGAATGTAGAAGGGCGGAACGCCGCTGGAAGAAGGATAAATTACAGATCTCATTTGATATTTTAAAGGAGAATTTGTTTAAATATCAAAAATCAAAGTATCTCTCTAATGGTATCTGTAAGAACTCTCATAAGCCAGCTGTGCTGTTCAGTACTATTAATGCTGTTTTGTTTAGAGCCTTTTGCTGAAATGTGGGAATTTTTTACACTTTTTTTTTATCGATTAGATTGACGCTGTTAGAGCTAATATTTCTTTCCCTGTGACTTTTCTATCTATTTTCACTGAGTGCTCCGCTGTTTTCAACCAGTTTGAGCCGGTTTCTGTTGTCTCATTGAGGGAGATCATTGTTGAAATGAAATCGTCCTCATGTGGGATCGACATTGTTCCTCCACGTCTCCTAAAAGACTCATTTGAAGCTATTGGTCCTATAGTACTTGCAATTATTAATAGTAGCTTGGCCTCGGGAGTTGTACCTAAGTCTTTTAAACATGCAGCAGTGGTACCAATAATTAAGAAATCTAATCTGGATTCATCAGTCTTTGCTAATTTTAGACCGATCTCGAAACTTCCGTTTCTGTCTGAACTACTGGAGAAGGTCGTATTTGGACAATTTAATTAATTTCTAGATCAACATGGTATTCATGAAGTGTTTCAGTCTGGTTTTAAATCCCTACATAGTACAAAAACTGCACTGTTGAACGTTTTTAATGACTTGTTACTTACTACTGACTCAGGGAACTGTGCTATTTTAATCTTACTAGACCTTTCGGCTGCATTCGATACTGTTGTAGACCATGAGATCTTGATCACACGCTTAGAACAATGTGTTGGTATTAAGGGTACTGCGTTGGCATGGTTTACATCTTATATGTCTGATAGAACTTTTTCAGTTCGTCTTGGAGACTTTATCTCCTCAACGGCTTCCTTCGCGTGTGGGGTCCCCCAGGGCTCCATCTTGGGGCCTATTTTGTTCTCCCTGTATATGCTCCCCTTGGGACATACGCAAATTTATCTGCCTTTGAAAAGAAAAGATACTCACACTTTAGCGCCTCTGTTGCAGTGTCTTGAGGAAATTAAGGCCTGGATGGCACTAAATTTCCGTGGTTTAAATGAAAATAAAACAGAAGTTATGTTTACGCCGGGAGGCACTTCTGAGTCAATACAATTGGACCTTGGTGAATTGAATCCTCTTGTGAAGCCCTATTTAAAAAAATTAGGTGTTATTATGGATAGTGATTTTAAATTGGACAAACAGATTAACTCGGTAGTTAAAGCTAGTTTTTTCCAATTGAGACAGCTCACCAAGGTGAAATCTTTCCTGTCTTTTAAAGACTTTCAAAGACTTGTTCATATCTTCATCTCATCTCGTTTGGATTATTGTAATGGTCTTTATATAGGCATTAGTCAGGCCTCTCTCTCCAGACTGCAGATGGTCCAGAATGAGGCAGCTCGCTTGTTGACGGGTACACGAAAGCGGGAACACGTTACCCCTGTTCTCGCTTCTCTTCACTGATTACCTCTCCATTTTAGGATTCCTTTTAAGATTTTGGTGTTTGTTTTTAAATCTCTTAATGGTTTTGCACCTAAATATCTTTCTGACCTGATCAAGCCGTATGCTCCGCCAAGAGCACTTAGGTCTGCCGATCATTCGATTTTAGTCGTACCACGGGTAAAGTTGAAGAGCAGGGGTGACAGAGCATTTGCAGTGGCGGCACCCAAGCTCTGGAATAGTTTGCCCCTGTACATTAGACATGCTCAAACACTTGCTGTTTTTAAAACTACCTTAAAAACGTATTTTTATAGTTTGGCATTTGACGCTATGTGAGAGTTGCCTTGTTGTTTTATTATGTGCTGTTGACTAGGGATGTAACGATTCACTCATCTCACGATGCGATACGATTCACGATACTGGTTTCACGATACGATTTTCTCACGATTTTTTTAACAAATGCGATTTAAGACAAAAGTGTCCCTTTTATTATTTCTCAGACAAAATGCTGCACATTTCTTTTTAATTTAAAATATATTTCTCAAATAATAAAACTACATTAAAAAAATTCCCTTCAAGGTTGTTTCAACTCAGTCTTTCTGTCTGTTTGGTCAAGAGGCTGGACACTGGTACCTTCGCACACTATGTAAAAGACTGTGTAAAATTAGTAGTACCAGATTGACAGGGGTTTTACATTGTAATAAAGGCAAGATTCTAATTTTGTTATAATTTGTATCATTACACTAGTAAGAGTAAAAAAAAAACACATTTAGAGAAAGAGATAGTAAAATAAATACAACACCTGGTTGCCACGGAAACACTGATGCACCTTGTGATCTCCGTGGCTCTCGCAATTGTAGTATTAATGACTTTTACATGAAAACGGAGGTGACTGGTGTTACTCACGGTGGTGATTATTATTAGTCTACGGAAAGTCAAAATGCCGCCACACCTCCGATTTGAATGAGTCAACGTCAACATCTACGCTTGCCGTCGCCAAAGCCATGTCTACTGTTTGACGGCACGTGCACACCAGTCTATGGCACACACTGGTGCGGCGCGAGCGGAGCAAACCGAGCGTTTTCAGTTCATTCCTATGGAAGTTGAGCTTGGCTCACACAAGATCAAGTTCCATGAATGAAGTGAAAACACTCGCTAGCTTCACGCCAGTGTGTGCTCGCTGCTATTGTGCTATTGTAAAGCGAGGTTCACAACTTCACAGTAGGCTATAGTAAACGCGCCCTGCTGTTTAAAACGTGTATCGCGATTCGTTTAACATTTCAACCGACTTGAATCGTCACACATTTTTATCGATTTTCAACCGGTTGCGAGTGAATCGTTACATCCCTACTGTTGACTGTTTGTACCATTGATATGGGATATCTGTGTACAGCACTTTGATGAACACTTGCTGTTTTTAAAAAGTGCTTCAACTTTGACTGGACTTTGACTTGCTGATTTTGGTTATTGCTGCTGCTGTTATTGCTGCTGATTTTGGTTATTGCTGCTGCTGTTATTGCTGCTGATTTTGGTTATTGCTGCTGCTGTTATTGCTGCTGATTTTGGTTAGTGCTGCTGCTGTTATTGCTGCTAATTTTGGTTAGTGCTGCTGCTGCTATTGCTGCCGATTTTGGTTATTGCTGCTGATTTTGGTTAGTGCTGCTGCTGCTATTGCTGCCGATTTTGGTTATT